GAAAACTGAAGTCACTGAAATGGTTAGACCAGCCTATCAATCTATAAATAAGGAGGGAGAGGCCACTTTGAATTAATTATATGCTTTCTTCTTGGAAAGAGTGAAAAAGAATCTTCATATTGTATTATGCATGTCACCTATTGGAGATGCCTTCAGAACAAGAGTAAGGATGTTCCCTTCCTTAGTCAATTGTTGCACCATAGATTGGTTTAATGAATGGCCTCAGGATGCCTTGGTAAGTGTGGCTACAAGATTCCTTAAGCCCGTGGAAATGGATGACAGAATCAAACAGGAATGCATAGATATGGTGCAGTTCTTCCATCAGAGTACTATGCATTGGGCTAAGAAATTCTATGATGATCTCAAACGTAAATATTATGTCACTCCAACCAGTTATTTGGAATTGATTGTAACATTCAAATCCTTGTTGTATGAAAAGAGAAACGAGGTCACTGCTCAGATCAATAAATATAGAAATGGTCTAAGTAAGATCACAACCACTGAAAACAATGTGGAAGGCATGAAAACTAATTTGATTCAATTACAACCACAATTGAAGGATGCTGCTGAAAAAACTAAAATCAAAATGGACGAAGTGCAAAAAGAGAAAGTACAAGCTGATTCACTCAAGACGGTTATTCAATCTGAAGAGGCTGTTGTGCAAGAGGCAGTCGATAAGGCTAATGCCATAAAAGAAGAATGTGAGGCTGAGTTGTCTGAAGCAATGCCAGCACTCAGAGCGGCCTAAGATGCCTTGAATGTCTTGGATAAAAAGCAAATTGAATTCTTGAAGCAAATGAAAGCTCCTTCAATGACCATCAGGAATATCTTAAGAGCTTTGTGTCTTCTATTGTATCCAAACCCAACTGAAAAGACCAAGGATAAGGATGGCATTAGATTGGTCACAGATTGGTGGTAAGCTTCATTAAAGGTCTTGGGAAGATCGGGTCTTCTGGAAGAAATGTCTACGTTCAATACTGATACTGTTGAAGAAAAGGTCATTGTGAATTTGGGTAAATATTTACAGGATCCTGAATACAAGGAGTCCTTAGAATTGTCTGCAGCTGAAAATGCATCACCTGCTTGTAAAGTTATTATGATGTGGATTAATGGTGTGTATAACTTCTATTTTGTTAACAAGAAGGTCAAACCCAAGAAGATTGCCTTGGCAGAATCCTAAGCTCAAGTGGATGGTTTGAATGCCAAGTTAGCTGTAAAACAAAAGGAGTTGAATGATGCCAATGAGAAAGTTAGCAAGTTAAACAAAGAATTGCAATAAACTATAGACAATAAAAACAGATTAGAAAATGAATATGAAGAATGCTCCAAATAATTAGAAAGAGCCAAGAAACTTATTGAATCATTAGGAGGAGAAAAAGGTAGATGGGGAGCATTTGCTGAACAACTCGAAGCCAATTATATCACTTTGACAGGAGATGTATTGACATCAGCAGGAATGATTGCCTATTCAGGTGCATTTACTCAAGCATTTAGAATTGAAATTGTCAAAGAATGGGTAGCCAAATGTGTTGAAAAAAGTATTCCTTCTTCTTAGATTTTCTCATTGCTCACAGTTTTAGGAGAACCTGTAAAAATCAGAGCTTGGAATATTGATGGTTTGCCTTCTGATCAATTCTCTATTGAAAACAGTATCATCTTGTTCAAAGCCAGAAGATGGCCACTTTGTATTGATCCTTAAGGACAAGCAAACAAATGGATTAAGAAGATGGAACACTCAAGAAAAATTGCTATCATCAAATTATCAGACTCTGACTTCTTGAGATAATTGGAAAATGCTATCCAATTTGGAAAACCAGTGTTGTTGGAGAATGTTCTGGAGGAATTGGATGCTTCACTCACTCCCATTCTCTTAAAGTAAGTGTTCACTAAAGGAAATACTTCTTATATCAAATTAGGAGAGAGCACAATCGAGTATTCAAATCAATTCCAATTTTACATTACAACCAAACTCAGAAATCCCCACTATTTACCTGAAATATCAACCAAGGTTACATTGCTTAACTTTATGATCACATATGAAGGATTGAGTGATCAATTATTAGGTATTTTGGTTAAGAAAGAGAGACCTGACTTAGAGAGAGAAAAGGAAAGACTCATTATGGAAGGTGCTAGTAATAAGAAGTAATTGGCAGAAATTGAATAAAAGATTTTGGAAGTGTTATCTGGAAACAAGAATATTTTAACAGATGAAACTGCAATTGAGATCCTAACAGCTTCCAAATTAAAATCAAATGAAATCAGTGAGAAATAAATTATTGCTGAATAGACAGAGAAAAACATTGATGCTGCCAGACAAGAGTACGTTTCTGTAGCATAATAAGCGTCTTGCTTATTCTTTGTCATTTCTGATCTCAACAATATTGATCCCATGTATTAATATTCACTTGTCTATTTTATTGATCTCTTCACACAATCAATTGTAAAATCAGATAAGTCTGACAATATTGGCATAAGACTGGAGAATCTCAAAAACTATTTCCTGCTCTCATTGTATAGAAACATTTGTAGATCATTATTTGAGAAGGATAAATTGTTATTCTCCTTCCTTCTAGCAACCAGAGTGATGGAATTCCGTAAATAATTAGATTAGGAGGCATTCAGATTCTTAATGACAGGAGGTTTGTCCTTATAAGAAAAGATGCCAGATCAACCTAAAACTGACTGGGTATTGCCAAAGAATTGGGGAGAAATCACTAGATTGAGTTAGTTACCAACCACCTAAGGATTTCATGAATACTTCTACAAAGATGCCTACTTGAATGGATTCAAGAGAATTTATGATTCATTACAACCACAATCTGAAGATTTACCAGGAGAATTAAAAGATAAATATACTAATCCATTGATAAAGTTATGTGTGTTAAGATGCATCAGACCAGACAAATTGATTCCAGCCATTTAGATATTTGTTCATGGATATTTGGGAGAGGAATTCATCTTCCCACCAGCCTTTAACTTGGCTGAGATCTATGAAGACAGTTCCTCAGTAACTCCTCTCATCTTTGTTTTATCTCCAGGATCAGATCCATTTGCTTCATTAAGTGTATTTGCAAATGCTAAGAACAAGTCCTTTGCTCAGATTTCATTGGGATAAGGTTAAGGACCATTAGCATAAAAATTGATTTCAGAAGGTGTAATCAATGGAAGTTGGGTAGTGTTGCAAAATTGTCACTTGGCCGTTTCTTGGATGAACACTCTAGAGAAGATCTGCGAAGAATTATCACCAGATCCAAAACAAACTCATCCTGAATTTAGATTGTGGCTAACAAGTTATCCAAGTCCTCAATTCCCCACTGCCATCTTATAAGCTGGTATTAAGATGACTAATGAACCTCCAAAGGGATTAAAGGCTAATTTACAAGGATCCTACTTGACAGATCCCATTTCAAATGACGAATTCTTCTCTGGGTGTAACAAGCCTGAATGGTTCAAGAGACTACTATTTGGTTTATGTTTCTTCCATGCAGTTATTCAGGAACGAAGAAAGTATGGACCTCTTGGATGGAACATTCCTTATGAATTTAACGAGTCAGATCTACGTATATGTGTCAGATAATTGAGAATGTTCTTGGATGAAAATGATTAGGTACCTTTTGAGGCATTAAGATATTTAACTGCAGAATGTAATTATGGTGGAAGAGTCACTGATGACAAGGACAGAAACCTTATCAAAATTCTACTTGAGGATTACTATTGTCCATAAGTAATTGATGAAAATGAGAAATACAATTTTGGTTACGAAGAATACAATGCACCTCATTATGAAACTAGGGAGGAGTATTTGGATCATATCAAATAACTCCCACTTTTGACTCCACCTCAAATATTTGGTTTCCATCCAAATGCTGATATCACCAAAGACATGAACGAAACAAATCTTATTCTAGATTCTTTATTATTATGTTCTGCTTAAGGTGGTAGTTCAAGTGGACAATCATTTGAATAAGTGCTTGAATAATTGGTCAAAACAATTATGACTGATTTCCCTGAAGAATTTAATTACGAACAAGCTACTGAAAAATATCCATTCAATCCTAAAGAATCCATGAATACAGTGCTTACATAAGAGTTAACTAGATTTAATAAGTTGATCAACATTATCAGAAAAAGCATGGATGATCTCAAACTTGCTCTCATGGGTAAAATCTTAATGAGTCCATAACTCGAAAGAGCCAGTAGACAACTATTTGATGGTAAAGTCCCTGATCTTTGGATGGAAAAATCTTATCCCTCCTTAAAACCACTAGGAAGTTACGTAATTGATTTGAAGGCTAGATTGACCTTCTTCTAGAAATGGTTGGACGAAGGAATTCCATATAATTATTGGTTATCTGGATTCTTCTTCACCCAAAGTTATCTTACTGGTGTCTTATAGAACTTTGCAAGAAAATATGTTATTCCCATCGATGAAATTAAATTTGAATACAAGGTAATTCCACTTTCATTATTTTTAGATTATGGATTAATCAATCGATGAACATATTTAATCCAGACCAGAAGATGGAGCCTATGTTTGGGGTTTATACTTAGAGGGTGCCAAATGGAATTTCAATACCATGGAACTCGATGAGTCAGATCCAAAAGTACTATCTATTATAAAATTTAGGTTTTATTCACAAAATGTCCCACCATTCAATTATGTCCTATGCATATTTCCAAAATTGATCCTCCTCCTACTTATAATTGTCCACTCTACAAAACTAGTGCCAGAAGAGGAGTGTTGTCTACAACTGGTCACTCTACTAATTTTGTGATGTACGTCAGACTATATACTTCTAAACCCGAAAGATTCTGGGTTAAAAGAGGTGTAGCCCTACTTACATAATTGGATGATTGACAGTAATACAAAAATAATTATTAAATTATTAAATTATTAAATTATTAATACATGTGTTGATATTGCTTAATTTTAAATCCTATTAAATTTTACATATATCAATTCGAAATAAGTTTGCTTACGAAATATTAATTGATTTTCCATGTATATAATTCAATCTGCTGCTGAAAACATAAGAACCCTCGATATATTTGGAATGGACGTGCATCTCCTTAGCTAGAGATCAAACACCCATAAAACATACTCAGGAGCAGCTGCCTCGATCTTTATTTTATCTGTCCTCGTCTATTCCTTCTATTCGTTTATCTTATAGATGAACGAAGGTAAAAATGCAATTCTCAATAGACAAGAGGCTCTCCTGTAAAATAATGAAGTAATATATGAATTCAAATATAAGGGGTACACTTTTGATGCAAAGGATTTCATTTTTATAACTGGCCTTTTGGATGGAGCAGGGTAACCAATTATGAATCAGAATAATAGTATCTATTCAGTCACGTTCTATTTTTGTAATAAATCTTTATCAGACACGCAATGCACTTATTTTTCCAGTACTATTTGCGGTGACATTATCACTGAATTATCATAGGTAAAAGCAGTTTAATCCGTTTTAGAAAATGGGTGTACCAAAAGATTATCAATATATTAGCTACTGCCTTGACTAAGAGAAGGCAGAGAACTTTTACAACAGTCCGATTACAAGGTTCTCAAAGGATGGACAATTTTACATTATTTGGGGTTTTACTTAATAGATGTGTAAATAGCACTGAAAAAAATGGTATATTCTATTCTAAATTTAGATTGTGCCTCCCAAGAACAAATTGACTAATTGGTTACTAACTCTAACTTCTATTACTCTTATACAAATTTTTAGTTCAGAAAGGATCTAAATAGTTATCCCTTTGAAACTATGCAGAATTTTGATGTTACAACTTTGTATCCTAAACTAAAAAAATATATAAAAGTATTATACTCTTACAGTGTTGCTTACTTAGAGTATAATCCTTTTTATTTCTTTCCTTAAACCACTGAATGCCAGTCCATAGAGTATGATTAATCAATAATTGATGCCGTTGTAATTTCAGAAAATGACGCCCAGCTCGCTTAAGTAGAATTACATTTAGGTGTTAAAAAATTTATAAGTCAAGTTACTTATCAAACCCTGATGGACGTTGCTGCGAAATTAGGCGGATTTTTTACAATTCTCAAAATTTGTATTTCAATAATTTTGCAACCAATCTAATGGTTTCAATATAGATTATACTTGATTAATCGTTATTTAGACATTAAAAAAGGAAACAGATCCCTTACAAACTTGATAGATATTGATAATCTGAATTTCTTATAGGTGGTATTTTCTAAAAATAAGAGAAAGTACTTTTATGAATAAAATCGGGTTATAGACAAACTATTGGATATTGCAGAAATAGCATTTAATCCTTTAAAACTTATACGGCAAGTTGAAGACTTACAGTTTTCTATCAAATAACTCGATATTTCGAAAACGAAAAGGTATCGATTAGAAGAAAATGAACATGAACAAATAGAAATTAAAAGTATTTGCCGATCCATAAACTAAGAGTTAGATTCAAATGGACAATAAAAAATATTACCAAGCATCAAGATTAATATAACGAGCAAGTGATTTAAATATTGGTTATAATTGAAATGTATTTGTATGCTAATCAATGATATAATAAACCATTGAATTAATCTAAATGATTTGTATTTCTTTAATTATTAATGATTATTCATTAAAACTGGAGATCCGAGAAAATCTAACTTATTAAAGATGTTATTAAAAATAAAAATGTTCTTCCACCCTACGTCTAAGGAAAAATATTGAAATAGTTGGATTTCTAAGTAAAAGCACTTGAAAATAGAAGCAATGAATCACTTTCTCCAAAAAAGAAAAATACAAATTTGAAACCTCCACCACTAACGAAATATGATTCCAAATTTGATAGAAGCTATAGTATAGGAAATCCTTTGGAATAAGAATGCATTAAATGCAAAAAGTTCATATTTTAAAATAGTGCTGTGTTGCAATGTACTAAAACTTAGCATCGTATGCATGAGAGATGTATTCTTTAGCATTTTAAGGAATTGTATTTAAATAATCAACTTAATTTTGGATGTGTTTGTGGTAAGAAACTAATTCCAGAATAGATTAAAGCAATCAATATTAAAGGAATTGAGGACTTGGTTAATTCAATTTATTCAAAATAATTAAAAGAGATCTCAAATTCAAAATCCATTGAAAAATGTAGAAATCCATAGTGTGATTTTTTTTGGATAAGTGATCTTAGAATGTAAAAATAAAAATATAATGGAAAGTAATTGAAAACTCTGTCCAAAAAATATTGTCCTTTTTGTTGATTGAATGTTTATTGCATGATTTATAAAGAAATTAATTTGTATATTACACGAAAGATTGAATCCATTTGTAAACAGTTAAATTCAAATTTCATTTTTGATATTTAATAATTTTAATGTTGTTAGTATTATTTAAATTATTGAGGATCCGCCAATTAATGTAAGTGAATTAATTTTATTCTTAAATCAAATCAAAAATATTATCTTTCTTTACACTTCATTATCTACATTCTTTTATTCTGTTATATCTTATCAATTGATATTTCAACATTTGGAATAATTAAATGTTTAGACATAAAGATATATGTGAGTTGGCTGAATCTTTTGAGATTGATAAAGTACATAGTTTTTCTAATCAATAATCGCGAAGATTACTATATATTTGTGTTTTAAATATTCATTTTGTTATTTATGTTATATAATTAATTTAATTTATAGGATGTCAGACGAAGAATAACCCCAATGTGATTATCAAAAGTTCCTTAATCAACTACATACAGTTAAAAAAATGGATGATGTTGAAGTCTTAGATTCAAGTGATGAATTTTAAATGGAGAAGAACGAGACTCAATACAGTTAGCAAAATATTTACCATTCAGGATTGGATGAATTTGTTATTCCACCTAAAGAATAGGACTCAGTTTCAATAGATACTAAGCCCTACGAAAGTACATAAATTGTTAAACCAAAGATTCAGCCCGTCTAAGTATGCTGTTTAAATTTTAATTAGTTACCTCCTTTATCGAAAAAGATAAACAAAGCTAATGAGAGAAAATTTTGTTTTAAAAATGTGGAAATCAATTAATAGTTGCTAAAATATGAGACTGTTTTTTATGAAATTGAAAGCTATATTGATGAAAATGATAAAGCACTTGTTACAAGACAATATTCCGATTTTGAATGGCTATTCGAAGAGCTTGTTGAGAACTTTCCAGGTATCATTATACCTTCCATTCCTTAAAAGAATATGCTCGCTAAATTCAATATCACAAGCTATACTAGTTCTATTCGATCATAGAGATAAAAAGGTCTTGAAGAATTTTTAAGAAAAGCCTTAAATCATGTTCAACTAAAAGATTGTGAGATTATTGAAAAATTTATGACCTTGCAGGATTAAGACTTTAAAAAACTTGTATCGAACTATTAAGCATAAAAATAATAGAAATTATTGATAAATGTCAGTAAAAATATGGTTGTGAATGCTTTTGGAAAAATTGGAAACATCTTTTTTAGTATTTATTATTCATTATCTATTCTCAGATGCATAAAACAATGACAACGAAATGGAAAAATATTGCTAAATTGCTGTATAAGAAATCAATATATAGAAAGTTAAGATCAAGAATATAAGGGATCAATTGGAAAAGACCTTCCTCAATAAATATGAATAGAGCAAATAATTTATGAAATTATCCACTCTCTATGATGAAATTTAGAATGATATAGGATACAAGGAGCATTTGAATTCAAAATGCGAAACCATATCAATAGCATTGAGAGATTCATTTGCCAATGTTATGCCAATAATCTACACGATTGATGTAATAATATATTGAAAATTAGGCTAGTAATACTTATTAGACATGGAAGTAGTTTTGAATAGTGTAAAATATAGGGCAGATTTATAGTAATTGATAACTGATCATGCTGCTGCTTTAACAAGTGCCAAATATACTGTATAATATATTTTTAATTGAATAGCCTGAACAATAAGCCTTGATCTAGACATAATTAAATGATCATTAAAAAAACATGAGTAAGTTTGTGGAAAGCTTTAAAAACGAATATGAAACCTTTACAGATCAATATAATAAACATTTTAATAAGATGATGCAGACAGTATTACAAGTATGGCAATAAATCAATACTCAAATGTAAGAAACTTGGCTTTGATTTTTTAATAAAGAAACTAATTTAATAGTTATTAATCATTACATTAATTTTCTAAATTTTCTTAACTTTTCAAAATCATTTACTAGCTTCTTAAATTTTAAAATCCTGTCTTAATCTTTATTTAATTTTATAACCTTTCTCAATATTTTCATAAGACAGAAATTAGAAGTAACTACTTATCAATAATAGGTGAAGTTAGAGCTGAATATAAATAAGTGACAATGTATATAAGCTGAACAATTTATTTAGATAATAATCAATCTTAAAATACCTATTGAAAAAAGGGATGATGAACTAGTTTTCTCAAAGGTATTCTTTCTTCAGGATCTATTCTAAGCATTTTTCTAATCAGATCAATAAAAATGGCATGTTTAGCTGGTATTAATTCTTCAAAAGTTTTCAATTTTTTAACTCTTTCTATTGCAGAATCACTTGGTGCCACAGAATTCCATTTGAAATATGATCGATGTTAATCAAAGTACCTCTAATTTCAATAAGTGTACTTTTAATCATAATTGAAGAATGTTTTATATTTGGAGTTCTTGAAATGACGGTAATCCATAGGTCCAATAGCTTTTTCGATCATGGCTATGTGTTCTAAATCATCTTTATTTTAGAAATACAATTCGCCTAGAATAATCAAAATTAATTAATACCGGTATACAATTCTAATAAGACACAAGCTAAGCACCAAATATCACTCCTCTCATTCCATTTTGGATAGCCCATAATCACTTCAGGAGCACGATATTGTCTTGTGTTAATGACAGTACTGTGATATTCATGTTCAAAGGTGGCGCCCCCAAGATCTATAATTTTAAGGATTTCTTTTTCAGGAACCCATATTCTAAATAAAATGGAATATAAATAGATACTGTCTTCCTTTGAAGGGGACCAACTTATATTCACAATTTGTAGTTAAGATATTTTCAGGTTTGAGATCTGTATGAGTTATCTAATTTTGATGAAGGAAAGCCACTGAGATGATGATCTATTTAGCAAATGATTACACATATTTCATAGGAAAACCGATGTAATTGTTCTGTTTTATTAAGTCATATAATGATTTCCCTAACTTAATGATTATTTTAGAAATACCCTCTCGAAAACCATGAAATAATTGTTATATCTTTCAAACGATGTAAACAGCCTCACAATATTAAATGCCCCACTCTTATCCTTATCCTATATATACCACAATATTTTGGTTTCGATTTTGGCTGATTCTATGTACCTTTCTACAGCCCTTATGCACTTTTAAATCCAAATAATATTACTTTCATGGCATAATAATTATTATTAGCAGTATTACAGGTTTTAACTTCTAAAACACGACCAAAGGTGCCATCTCCTAAAAACCGTGTTATCATAAATTATCCTGCTTTTATTTTCATGCCTATTTGATATTCAAAATGGCCAGCATCTTAATCCTCTTTCTTTTTGTTTTTTCTTTTCTATTTTTTGTGAGAGTATCTAGATGAAGATGATGAACTTGAGGATGATGATCTTGATGAAGACCTTGAAGATGAGGAACTAGAGGAAGAACTCATTAAAATAAATAAATTAATTATTTGATAATCATTCTAATTTTGGGATTATATCCTATTTATTTTATTATAAATCCTAAAATATACTATACTATTCTCATTATGATAATCCATTTTACTTGTATTTCCTTTTTAAAGAGATTTTATATACCTATTTCAATTAAAAAGTATTTTCTTTGTTTATACACTCTATTATTATAATCTTGTCTAATATATATATATTCCACTCAAACTATCAATTATTTTTTCTAAAACTAATGTTAAAATTGAAAGACAATATTCTATTAATGAAAAAACTCGTTTCAATAAACTATCTATTGTCTTATTTATTCATATTTTAACTTTATAGTATAAGATACTATACAATAATTTAGTATTGAATAATCATTTATAATCGATTTTGAACTTTCTTATATTAAATTTAAAACAAATTGGAATTTACGCAAAATCACATCAATGATCATTTAAATATTGGTAATCATTAGATCAAAAGAATTAAAATCGTTTACAAAAAAAATAAAAATTTTTTTGATTTAATAATTGCTTATATAATCATATCTTATTAATTATAATACAGTATTTAGATTATAAAATTCTAATATTGAGTAAAATAAATGATGAAATTGCTTGAGAATAGCGTTTACAGGATTATATATTAAAAATACTCTTCTATTTTAATCAAGGTTTTATCTCAATTTTGAAGTTTATAAATTAAATGTGTATTTAATTAGAATTTTTAAGATAACCTCTATTTATTTGTGTTATTTTCTCCTTCGCAATTAATTCTTTATTGAATAAAATAATAAAAATTTTATATAATTTATTTAAAATTATGTCAAAGAAAAGAAAGAATAGCTCTTCCTCATCATCATCCTCGTCTTCATCTTCCTCTCCGGAGAAAAAGATCTTTGTTAACCAATGTGACAAGTATAAGGAAGAGAGATAGTCTGAAATTCGGATTCATTTCTACTTTAAGGATTTGTACATAGGGGGACTAAGAGAAGATGAATTTTTGTTTTATTTACATGGACGCATATAAAAGGCTGTAAGAATCTCTCTTTCTAAAAGAGGGTCCATGCGATTTGTTACAAATTAGTTCAATTAATAAGGAAACACAAACAATTGATGTTGCTGTGGGATTCAAATATGATGATGATGCACTCAAAGTATATTAGGGGAAGGTCTCCGTAAAGACAAAGGACAAACTGACACCAATCTTATCCAAAGTCTACACAGAAGTGTTAAAAGAACAAGGACATATGATGAAAGAATAATAGAGTGATTTTCGTAAGTCCCAATAGAAAGAATTGTCACGTGAAAAGGAGAAGCCCCAACAATACATTCCAACCTATAATTGTATAAATATCACCAATTTAGATAACATATCTAAGGAATAGCTATACATCTTTGGAGTTCCTAAAGAATTTACTATAGAAGATTGCATATCCGAGATTAAGCAGACCTACGATTTAGTGGTTAAGCCTGAGGGAATATTTAGATCAGAGAAGGTTGGAGACATAACATATGAATATTTGGAATTGTAAGTGGAGAGGATTCCTTGCCAATAGATTCTAAAGAAGTTGCCTTTGGTATTAAAGAACATCTCCTTGTTATGCATATAAAAGAAGAAGCGAACAGATCCTTTTAATGATGTGTTGAAGCCTTATCAGGTGGTATTAAGTGGCAAAGTGAATCTGTCATAAGTCTATGCTCATATGAATACAATAGGAGGAGTATTATTTCATTAAATTAGGTAATTATTTATTTATAATAATATCAAATAGTGAATAAAAGTATTGCATAATGATGCAAAGTGAATAATCAGTAATTGACTTAAAATTGCCTTGCACTCTAGATATCTAGAAGGTCTAATGTTAGGTAAGTCAAAGTCCTGACTTTAATTTGCAAATGGGAAGACCTAGTCTGAATGAAACAACCTATTATAAGATTTAAGAGTTCAAAAAGAAGCAAGAAGAAATGAAATTAGCTCGCTTACATTCGAGTTCAAGTTCGAGTTCTAGTTCCAGCTCTAGTTCCAGTTCTAGAAGTAGAAGCAGAAACAAAAAGAAGAAGAAGCACCATCACAAGAAGAAGCATTGAGGTTTTATATATATAAATATATTGATCTTTGATAAAGTTTTGTTTTGGATATAATTGCATTATAATTTTTATTATGAAAATATTATTAGTTAATGCATTTGCTCCAACACCAAAAGGATAAAAATAGTTTTTAGATTTCCGCTATATTGTTTAAAAAGCCTTTATTAATTATGTATTATTAGTGATATGAATAGTCTGAAGTTCCAGATTAGGAGATGGAATATATAGTGAGGGATTTTTCATCTATTTCTGATTTCTTGTATGAAATTTAAAGCTCTTATGTCAATCAAAATGCTGTTCAGTAATAGTATAATCATATTAAGAGCATTTAATGCATTTGATATAATATTTGTAGCTGGAAGTGGAACTACATTGCCATGGTCATAATAGATGGAAAAGATTTTAGTTCTCCAAAGAATGTGCATCAAAATTAATAAGTATTTATTTGCCTGCGGTTGTGGAATGATGGGATTAGTATTTCTATCCGCATCTAACTTTGATAGAACTGTTTATTTTACCAATGATGAATTACATCCTTAAAAGTACTTTATAGAGAAAAGCACTGGCGATATTTTTGTATATCATCCTGATACGAAAACATGGCAACCTAAAAGCAATGCAGGATTGCACAATAACAAAGCAGCACAAGAGTTTCAGACTTTGGGAAAGTACATACTGAAAGCTCCTATTTATCGTCCATTTAAAAATATTGAAGTATATGCCAGTAAAACTAATGAAATCATCGTACATATAAAATCCTCCCATGTCAATCATTACATATTTGAAGGTGTAAAAAGTTAGTCTTTTGTTGCTACTACATCTTCAAAGTGGGATGTTCATTCATTTTCATTTCCTTCTATTGAAAGAGCATTCACAATTTTAGCAGAATCTGATAGAGGTCCTATCATTATTGAATATGGCTCCTATATTATAGCCACTTTATTTGATATTTCATTAAATTATGAGGCAACCACTTAGATTATTGGCAATTTCATCAAAACTACAGTAGATAAGATAAAAGGAGGAGCTAAGATTTAAGAACAATCAAAAGGGGTTTATATAGGAAAGAACAAATTCAAAGCAAAAAGAAATCTAAAAATTGAGTTGCTCTATCGATCAGCTCCAAATTCCCCTGAACATTCATAATAATAATCTTTCAAACACAGTGGTTTTGCTGTAAAAAGGATCTTAATAAATATTTACTTCATAAATTTCATTTCAACTCACAGTTTTCATTAATCTCCTTAGTTGACTAAGAGAATACCATTGAGTAAAAAGTTGAGAGACTTGAAATTAGAATAAACTGAATAAGAGTAATAAAATTTTCAATCCCCTTAATCCTGTATGACAAGAAATGAAATTATTAAATTCCTGCACCCTTCTTTAGATATGGAATTTAGTTCTTTCTGGATTCCCGGTTAACAACCTAAATTATCCAATACTCTTAAATCGAAAAGAAAATGACTTTATTTGATTATCAATTTATTGACTCTATTTAATTCATATATATATTTAGAATATTTCTTCGAAGTAATGATAAAGAATTAGAATGATCAATTATTGTCAATATTTAATCTTGTTGAATCAAATTCACTTTGTTTATTAATAAGAAGTTTGCTTTTTATAAAGTTTACAAATCAAAATATAAAATATAATATTTATCAAATGAGGCTAAGTAATATCTAATGGAACTTATTAAAATTTTAATAAAAAATTTAATAATTATTAAGTCCTTTATAATACTTAATAATAATTAAATAATATAAATTAATTTAAATCTTATACTTTAAATAAAGGATTAAATTTTTTATATTCTTTTTGATCTGAGCCTTAAAATTCTCTTTTGCGAACAAAATTCACGCCCGAGATCAAAGTGCATCTTTAAACCTCTTAATATTTAACTTCATATTTTTTGAATATAATTTGAGATAAAGAATTTTCTTGTGGCCTTTAATTCTTTCTTTTTTCTATACATTTCAAGAATATATCACTCAACTTTTGTTCTATAAACAAATTAAATTTATTATAGTCTAATTGCTTTATATAAAATACTGAATTTATTTAATTAGTCATTTATTATCAATTCATTTTTTAAGAAAACATTAGCACATTCGAACTCATTGCAAATATCAACTTAGTATGATTATTGATTGCATGGTTTGAAATAATGTTGGTAAAATTCTATAAAAAAATAAGGGATACAATATTTGACAAAAAATGAGGATTTTATTTATCATTTAAAGAAATCTAAATACAATTAGAATGAACATCTCAATTTAAAGAGTTAATATTGGAAAAAACTTATTAAATAAGATGACAATAATCTAGACACAATTTTATGATAAATTTATTTTAAAATTGAATGTTTTTTTGCTTAAATATCATATTTTACTCACGAGTGTTATCTATACAAAGAAGCATTTAAAATTTGATAACTAAGATTAATTATTAATGAAGAAATAATTCATTAAAATAAAAATAATTATTATTGGAGGTTGTAATGATATTTTATAATATGATGATTATTATTGGAATAAATAAGTTTAAAATAAATTGATAAACAAAGGGAAGTGTTCAAATTTCTCAATCAAGATCTAAATGGATTTCTGAGTTATGGAAAATCAAGTTGTTTCAATCTACAATATTAATAATAAATTACTGTGTACATAGATCTTCTATCTAAAATTATTCTTCTTCAAAATACGAATGTTGTAAACAGGTTGAAGCACTGGGTCTGTATTTAACAATTGCTATCATGGATTACAACAATTCCAAAGCATTGAGATTGCAGATTTATGATAATGAAGTAATGCTATTTCTATTCAATTATAATAATTCTGAGGCTTTAGTGGACTTAGGTGTGTTGTATAGTTTTTTTCCAGTCAGCAATGCATGAAATACACAACCCAGGCTATAAATGTCACATAATTGATTGTATTGACCCATGTTTAAAATTTCTGGGGCTATATAGCCAGGAGTTCCACATCTTTAATAGGAAAACATCTCATCATTGATTAATGTCGAGTACCCAAAGTCCATAATTCGAATTGAGTTTGGATCATTTTTTCTCAGTAACATTATATTGTCTAATTTTATATCTCTGTGCATAATTCCTATGTTATGAAGATGATTCAGTCCAATTAGTAATTTTCTCATCATTTCTTATGTAACTAATTCTGGCAAATTTAAATCATTCTGAACTAGATATTCATAGAGTGTTCCACCTTTACAATGTGGCATAATGTAAATAACCGATTGATCGCATATGAAAATTTGGTGGGCTCCTAAAAGATATTAATGAGGATTGTAAGATAATTTCATATAAATCTTAGCCTCGCTCATTACAAAAGACTAAATTAGTTTGAATAATTACATTATGGTCAGAATCAACGTGCTTATTTTTGAGAAACTTAACTTGTTTGGCTACGACAATCTCCTCTGTTAGTATATTTTTACATATCATAATCTAGAATAGGATGAGGGAAATTACTTCGACATTTTTATGAGATTTAATAACCTCTAATTTCTGGTAAAACTATTTAAAATTTCTATAGAATGCTTTTCCATTTAGTTTGTTTTGTAAGTCCTGTAAGGCCTCTGGCTTTTAGTAATACACAATTCTTTAATTTTATTTTGTGTCATACACCATCATTTCTGTGATTATGTTGTTCCTAAATAATATTAACATGATACTCATAATGCCATTTGATTTGGCAGTCCATTGAAGTCAAATCGAATTTCCTATCAATCAAATTCAGTCCTTCTCTCTAACCAATATAAATAAATACATACCTTATTTATTATGAGATAATTTTCCAACAAATATGCGAATCTCTGTTCTTTCTCATTGTTTTGCTTTTTCAAGAGTGAGGTTGTAAAATAAAATATATTGCTCATAGTAAAAAAGATATAGATAATAAATAATCAAAAAATGTAAGAAATTTGTTACTATAAAAACACTGAGTTTTAGCAATTCTTTTCAA